CATGCATCAAAATAAACAGACTTTTTTTTTTTGAGTGAAAACTGTGGAATCACTAAGTGACCTTGATCTCACTAAAACCTTTTTATCAATCAGGAATAGAGTAATAATGTGAACAGCTAATGAACAATTTGGTGATTTTAATAATTAATGATGAAAATACATAATAAAAATTACTACTAAATTACACATCTAATAATGTAAAGAAATTGCTTTCTGAAAGATAGAGTGAATGTGTTCTATTAAATCCCACTGAGTTCCTTTCCTCTTGTTTTTGTTGTAAGAAAAGCACACATGTGCCTGCATATCTAAAATAAATTCATATATTTATGTGTACTCTAAGAAAAACTATTATATTGTCAAGATGGTAGAATAAATGTAGAAAGAAACTTTTATAGCTCTGCCCCAAGCACACAGTAATAATGTGTAAAATACTGTAAAATAAAGTTGTGATAAAAAAAAAATATCCCATGATCTAAGAATGTATTCTGTGCCCTGGCCAGTTTTGCTCAGTGTTTATAGCGCTGGCCCGTGGACCAGAGAGTCCCGGGTTCGGTTCCCACTAAGGGAACATACCTCGGTTGCAGTTTATTCCCAGCCCCAGAGAGGGTCATGTGGGTGGCAACCGCTCGATGTTTCTCTCTCACATCAATGTTTCTCTCTCTCTCTTGCCCCCTCTCTCCCTTCCGCTCTATCTGAAGATAAATGCAAAAAAACATGTCCTTGGGTGAGGATAAAAAAAAAAAAAGAATATATTTTGTCTCTGTAAAAGAATGAATTATGGAAAATGGCATATTATAAGGAGGCTCACTTTGCTGTTTAACATATGCAATGTTTTTCCTTAGATCTATGGGATGTAGTTCTGAATTCAATAACAAGTATTTTAGAACTGAGGTTCATTTTTTTTTTTTTTTACAAACTTCAATTTCCTGAACATTTCTTACTAAAGCAGAAGAAAAAAGATAGTTAAGGCTTCTAATAAAATGCTCTTAATCTTTGACATCAAAAACTTGCCAAAAGCAATTAAATGCAAAAAAAGAATGTGAGACCCATACATCAAATATGTAGTGAACTAGATATAAGTAAAAGAAAATGCCATGTAATTTTTTTAAAAAGCAATGAACTAAACATTTCTGAGGAGAAAAGAAATTCTGCCAAATTTAAAGTAGTACAATTGTAACTTACAAAGATTTGTTTAGAAGAGACTGAACACATAAAGGACCCCATTCTCATGTACCCAAATATAACCATATATTTTCTCTTCAACAATTTTCATCTACTTCAAAGGTTGGTGAGATACTCTGAATAAAATCAAAAGCCATTCTATTTTTTAAAAATTGTGAATGTTTAAATTGGAAAGAGTACAGATTTTCTTTGTGAACTTTTGATATTTTATTATTGAAGAATGATTTCATTTTAAAAGGGTCACTAATGTAAAACAAGCCTAGCCTCCAAATGAAAAGAAATTTAACTCTGATGTATAAAAGTAAGATTGTGTGATACAATACAAATCTAATTTTTTTTTTTTTTTTTTTTGGTTAATCTAACTCTGATGTATAAGAGTAAGATTGTGTGATACAATACAAATCTAATTTTTTTTTTTTTTTTTGGTTAATCTTCGCCTGAGGATATTTTTCCATTGATTTTTTTAGATAGAATGGAAGGGAGGGAGAGAGAGAGAGAAACATCTACGTGAGAGAGACACCTGGTTTGGTTGCCTCTCACATGACCCCAACCGGGACCAGGAATCAAACCTGCAACCCAGGTATGTGCCCTTGACCAAGAATTGAACCAGTGACCCTTGGGTCCGTGAGCCAACACTCTAACAACTGAGCCAAATCAGTCAAGGCTCAATCAACTAATTTAATCAACATCTCTAAGTTTCCATGACTGAAATTAGATACATTCCTGTGTCTTTGTCCATTTATTATTATACCTTCTTCTCTGTCATCATGCCCATGCTCCTAGCTACATGAATCCTGCCACTTGTCCATTTGATGCCACCTTCTCTTACCTACTTTGAGTCAGTATTCCAGCAATTCTTACCCCTGTCTACTGCCTGGACATCCATCCCCCCTTCCCTTATTTATTCCCATCTGCATGTAAACATGATATTATTTCTCTCATCTAAGAAAATAAATCAACCCTCTTGATCCATTCCCCTCTCCAGCTGCTACTGTGTATCTTTGCTTTATAGTGAGACTTGTTCAAAGTGTTGCTTAGGCTTTCTGTCTCTTCTCTAATTCTCCCTTCTCATTCCTTTTGAACCTCCTATTCTTTCTTATTCTCTACCATTGCACTGAAAATGTTCTATTAGGATCCTCAGTAAGATTTGGGTTGCTAAATCCTTCAGTTCTCAATACTTATCTCTCTTGCCTAATTTGCAGCATGCAATGTAGCTAGGTGATCACTGTCTTCTTGAAATAATTTCGTGGTCTCCAAGGACACCTCACTTACAGTATTTGCCTGCTGCCTACTGGCTGCTCTGTCCCAGTCTTCTTTGCTGGTCTCTTCATCTTCCTCATTCTACACATACAAGTGCACTAGGGCGGAGTCCTGAGACCACTGTTCCTTCCTCTCTGTTCCAGATCACTTGAAGTCTCAGCCAGCTTTAAATATCATCTTTATTTATATTTTCAAAAGGGTGTCCTCCTCCAAACTCCAAATTTGTATATCCAACACCCTATTCAAAACCTCAGAATTAATGTTTCCGAAAACTACATTCTTAACTTTCCTCTTTCAGTCTCCCAATTGAGTAAGTTAACTGTGTGCCTTCAGTATTTCAGTCATCAAACTCACCATCATTGATGTCTGTCTTTCTTTCATAACTCGCACTCACCTCAGCAGCAAATCCTTCTGCCTCTAAACATACCTAGACTCTGCCTGTTATCACCTTCATTGCTCTCACCCTGGTCTAAGCCACTCTCATCCTTCATTCATCACTGATCTACCTTTCCACTTGTTATATATCCTGTGCTTATCATCGTATAGTCTATTCTCAACACAACATCCAGATTCATCCTGCTAAAACTGAAAACATTTATTCATAAAAATATATGTACCCTTATGTTCCCTGCAACATTATTTACAATAGTCAAGACATGGAAACAACCTAAGTGTCCTTTTATAGATGACTGGATAAATATGGTACATATATACAATGGAATACTACTAAGCCATAAAAAAGAAATGAAATATAGCCATTTGCAACAACATAGATGGATCTTGAGAGTATCATGCTAAGTGCAATAAGTCAGACCAAAAAAAAAAAAACCACAGGATTTCACTCATATGTGGGATATGAAACAGAAAGCAACAAACTAACAAATAAAAGAAACAAACTCATAGACACAGAGAACAGTATGGTGACTACCAGAAGGGATGGGTTGGGAAGGAGGATGAAGAAGGTAAAGGTGATAGAAGGAGTCTATCACGGGTGGTGAGCACGCAAAGCAATATACAGATGATGTATTATAGAACTGTACACCTGAAATCTATATAATGTTATTAATCAATAATACCTCCGTAGGTTTAATTAAATTTAAAGGAACTAAGTCAGATTATGCCACTTGACTTTAAAATCCCACAAAGTTTCCAATATAACTCAAAGTAAAAGTTGAAATCACTACTATGAGTCCCTACACATGATCTGGCCTCTCTGATCTCCTCTCCTCGTTCTCCCAGTCTTCATCTTTCCGCTCTACCCACGCTGCCCTCACTGCTGCTTGCACACATCAGGCAGCTCCCCACACAGGGGCCTGTGTACTCACCTGCTCTCTCTGCCTGGCCTGCTCTTCCCACAGATAGCCTTATCACACTTGACCGAGGCCTTTTCTGGTGCCCTGGCCAAAACCACATCCTCATCCTGACATCTTCTATCATCTCTCCCTCATTTCATTTTCTCTTTAGCATTTAACATATTTTATATTAAATGTATTTATGTTATTGTCAGACTGGAATTTAAACTCCACAAAAGCATAAATGTTTGCATTTTCTTCTCTGCCACACAGAAAAGTTTCTGGTACAAAATAGACACTCAAAAATATATTTGCCAAATAAGTGAATCCAACTTCAATGAATCCAATTTTGAGACTACTAGGCTTATGTCATCACCATGTAAGTATTAATTGAGTTCAGGGATTTCTTCCTCTAGAAAGTCTATAAAACTGTAGGAAAATAATGCATGGGTTTAAAAACGTGCTCGCTGGGTACTTGGCCTGAAGGACTGAGAAAGGCTTGGGCACTTGAAAGTGCCCTTTCTCCTCTTCTCATCGAGCCCATCTCACCCCATACAATCCCTTTTCTGAATGGTGAGAAAAGGTCTCAACCTCAGGATAATCTGAAGCATTCTAGATCACCCTGCTGCATTACCCCACCCACGGCTCAGCTCTAACTAGATGCTAGCTCAAATGTTAAAGGCGCCAGCTTTGAGCCGGAGATATTTAGCACAAAGACACCTTGCTTATTGCTTGTGCATCCTTGTTTAACAAGGAACAGTATACCTTGGTTTGCATGTATGTGTTCATGCTTGCTTGCTTTGTTGTTGCTAATGAATTGCTGCATTTTACAATAAATGTTCACTGTTAACCATTAGTATTTAGGGTTTTAGGCTAAAAACCCCAGAAGAATTTTTTGTAGAGAATTTTTTTTTTTTTTTTTATCCTCACCCGAGGATATTTTTCCATTTTTTGTACAGATAGAATGGGAGGGAGAGAAAGGAAGGGAGAGAGAGTGAGAAACATCGACGTGAAGGGACACATCGAGTGGCTGCCACCCACACGACCAAACAGGGCCGGGGACAAACTGCAACCGAAGTACGTGCCCTTAGCGGGAACCGAACCCGGGTCTCTCCGGACCACAGTCCGACGCTCTAACCGCTGAGCCAAACTGGCCAGGGCTGTAGAGAATTTTTTTTCATAGCATTTTTCATTATGAATTATTATCATTAGAGTGATAAGCCCAAGTGAAATATTCAAAAGAGGAAATCAATGTATTTATCTTACCTCGAGCTAACACTGAAGGATCCGGCAGGGCTTCCCCTTCCTCATCAGTACTTTCATCGTAGTTTGTGTCTCTGTCAGCAGTCATTTCAGAACAGGCTGTAGTTTCCCTGGAAAAAGAGAAAGTTAGAATTATAAATTATTGGCTCACCCCTGGCTAGGCATCAAATTCACTAGTAAGTAATTATAGAAAATATCCCTGAAAAATTATAATTAAACAAACATATTGAAATGCATATGATTAAGATGAAAGCCCTTCAAAGACTGTATGTTAACTCTCTTAAGAACAAGTTTATCTTTCAGCTGATCTCAGTGTGCTTGGGTGCTCCTATAATTAATTCTCAAATCAGTGTATAATCACTTATTATTCATCTATCAAAATACTATTCTTCTGTGGGTCACAGTGTTCCATACTTTCATCTCCAAACAGTTTTGCTTTTCATTTGATCTCCTGAAAATTATGAGTCAGGTACTTTTATTTGTATGATGAAGATACCCAAGTAAGGCAGAGAGTTTGAAGAACTTGCCCTAAGCCTTGTAGTAACAGACAGCAGTGCCAGACCAGCACTTGAACTAGGACAATCTGACATCAAATGTTATATTCTTTTTATAATGCCACTAGTAAACCTATATTTTCTCTCAGATTCAGGACAACAGACCCAACCTATATCTGCAAATGCCTCAAATAACTATAATTATCTAAGTCATACCAGCCATTATTCACCTGTGATTCTTCCTCAAAAATCAAGTACATATTCACTCTCAGAACCACTTGATTCTGAAATTAACCATTACTTAATCATGAAGCTTACAAATGTGTGTAACACTCTGTAGTTGTGCAGAAGATGAAAGTTTATAACCAATATATTTTTTAGTGATGTCTACGAATCAAACAGATAATATTTAGATACACTTCATGCCAGTTTCACGATTTAAGTGTAGGTGTGACAGTTGGGCAGACATAGAGAGACCATGCTGGGCATTTCCACCCCATTGTACCCAACAAGAGCATTCAACCCCAGACTATCTAATGATCTCATATCACTAAAAAGATGGCACCTAACTTTCATTAAGTTTGGAAAGAAATTCCACTTAAATGTGTTCACTGCCATCTCAGACCAGAAATGTAAAAATACCTTTCATGCTCGATGTTCTTTTCTAGTTCTTGAACTTCGCTTAACAATTTATGTAAATTTCTGATCTTTGCTTTCTTCTCATTCAGAACCAGAATAAACCTTTTATAAAGATCAGTCTCCACAGCTTCCTTAGCACTCACACATTTTTCAAACCTAAAATATAAATAAACAAATAAATAAATAAAACATGTTGTTCTTTACATTAATATTATACAGTCTAATAGTGAACATTATTTAAAGAACATTTTTTATAGAAAATACTATTAAAAATCATTTTACATGCTTTCATTAATTTAAAGCTTTATATAGATAGCTGAACAAATAATCAGAACTTATGGTTTATTAATGTTAATAATTTATGTACTGAGATAAGGATTCAAAATTGAAAAGTGATACCAAAAAACTTTGAAAACATCTAAATGCCTAAATGCAATAATTCATTCACATCTCCAGTTTATTTCCAAATGAATTTTTTTTTTTTTTTTATAATTTCAAACAAGAGTAACTAAAGCCTATATTTCCTAAACTTTGCTAACATTATTGTTTGAGCAACAGTGATCTTGTTTTGTGTGATTCACCTAATCTGTTTTCCCTAAATAGATTATGAACTGCTCCAGGCCAGTTGTAGTTTATAACCCAAATCCCCCTTCCCCCCCGCCCCCCCACAATGAATGAAAGTATACAACCTGAAAGTTCCAAGGAGAGGTTAATGAAACGGAAAATGTGAAACACTGTATGTCTTCAATTTTAGCTATGTAAGATAAACCATACAATTTTCTATCATTTCTAATTCTTTCTATAATATTCTAACCAGTTAACAAGAGGTTGTACTAATTTTGATCTCCTAGACACACTATATAAAGAAAGCTAGCAGAGGTTGCATGTACTTGGTATGTGCATATACACATACCATGAATAAACATCTATTTAAAGATTCAAATATAAATTATTTCATGTAAAATATGCTTTTAAATTTAGTCTAGCTCTGCCTAGTTTTCTCTTTACCACAGTGTTCATTTATGCTCCTGTTGTTCCATGCAAGTATTCTAGTATTTTCACTATACTTTTAACATATTTAAAATACATATATTTATATACTTATATTTTGTCTATTGTAATATATAAACTATTTTTTGGTGAAATAATTAGAAACAAAAATGTCAAAATTTGATACCTTTGATATATATACCCTTATGCTTTCAACAACGTATCTATCTAGAGATGCAAAGAATTAGGGCCTCTCATGGTATGAACAGAAACATATGGCAATATATTTTCTGGGAACAATTACAGCACTTTTACAGCATAGTCATGGGCTGTGAACTCATAAAGGCAGACTGCCTGTGTGTTTTACTGGCTGCTTTATCCTTAGTGCCTAGCACAGAGTTCTGCATTCAAGAGATCCTGAGTAGTTATTTATGAGATAAATGAGTCAAGTCAGTGAGTTAACATGAACACCTTATAAGGAAATAGAGAACCAGTGATTCTGAATTTTATATTTTTCACTCCTTTAATAGCTATTCACCATTGTAACAGTAATATTTTTTCATTTTCTTCAGCTTCTTAAGAGATTTGTGGTAAATATTAATATAACAGTACTTCTTTCATTAAGCAAGCTCTCTGAAAAACAAGTAAACCAAAAGGTGTGTATGGGGGCGGGAGCCAAAGTTGAAGAGCAGCCAATATAAATGGCCTATTTTAAGCAGGGACATGTCACTCCATTTGTATTTCAGATGTAAAGTGCTATATACATATTCTTTCTCATTTTCTTGTACTATTTCTAATGTAGCACAATAAGAAAAAAAGTTTAAAGATAAATAGAACATATATACCATTAAAAAAACAGAGGATATAATAACAAACTACTTTAAAGCTATACAAAGTAAAAACTAATTATAAAAATGTACCATAAAACTCTTGTATACCATAATTTATTATATAAAATTTTAGGAATGGTGATCAGTTAGTAATTTTATCCAACTTAAATACATATTTAATTTCCATATAAAACACTTCAATAATACCTGATTCAAAGAGTATGTGCACTTATCAACTTGAATTAAAATGAAAAAAGATATAAAAATAAAGTATCATATGATTTGTCTAAAATATTGTTAATCTAAACAATTAGTGTCATAATCACACTATCAAAGGCAGAAACAGTGCTGTAGTAGAAGAGCAAACTCAATGGAATGACTGGCACCCTGCGAGGTAAACTGCCTTGGTTTTAGCCCGGGCGGGTGACCGAGTTGAATGGAGTGTAATCTCATGCACCAAAAGTTTGCAGTATGGATTCCAGTCAGGGCATATACCTAGGCTGCAGGTTCCATCCTGGTCAGGACATACACAGGAGGCAATGATCGATGTTTCCCTCTCTCAAATCAATAAACATATCCTCAGGTGAGGATAAAAAATAAGGAAATAAACAAACTTGCTTGGTTTTAACTAAACCTTAGGATTCTGTTGCAACCAAATTTCTGATCATCAAACTGGATAACACTTCCTAGACAAAGCTGAGGAGTGGGGGTGAGCTGGGACAGAATGTTAATGTGAACAATTTCAGAAACTAAATTTACTCTTAATTATTAATTTATCAACAAATTCAGAGAATGCTATCCTTTTATTTACTGTTCAGTTACTAAAAGGTGACGACCATCCCCCAAACCCCATATTTAATGCCAATCCTCCCTTATGGCATTATGTTACTATGCCTTCCATATTACACGTCTCATGCCAACCATCCACCTCAAAAATTAAACAGGTATTTTTAGTAAGTGGGACCAGGAGAGACATGGGATGTACTGCTAAGCTTAGTGATACTAAAGGAGAACTCATATACAGCTAGATTAGACCACAATTAATCCAAGATCACCTGCAAGTCAAAGTTCAAACCTGATGAAACCATAAATAACTTCAAACAGGAAAGTCTTAAATGATGCTTCATCCTTTCAAGGATGACAAGGACAACAGAACAATATGTTAAGTTTAATTAGTAATTTAGGACTGAAGTATATAAAAAAATTTTAAAGAATAAAAACTAAGTATAAAAAATACAGAATATAAAAAAAATATTTCTGTGTGGGAAAACAAAAAATCTAAGGAAACCAAGTTTAAAAATAACAAAAATAAGAAAAACAAGGCAATTTCATGCAGAAAAAACATCCAAAATAACAGATTAAATAATAACCTCAAGTAAAACAATAGATACATAAATGTGAACATGTGGTACTTAGAAACAGTACAGTAATCCTTATATTTACAATCAGCTCTGGTGAAATTTATATCCAGGTCAGGGTTGTATAGCAAAGAAAAATATAAATAGAGTTCAAAGGACAAAGAATGCTGGAAAAGAAAGCAGTGGTAAAGAGATTTAATAAGCCTTAAGTACTAAAGGAGATGGTAAACATCTGTTCCTCATCCTTTCTGAGGACAGAACAAGAAGAAATGGCCTTCAACTATACCATGAAGGACTTAGATTAACGATAGATGGAAAGAAGAGTTTTCTGACTGTGACTGTTCTTAAACACTGTAATGGGCCACCAAGGGGAGTTGAAGCTATCTCATGAGGTCTTTAAAAATCAGACTGAATTCATCTCGATATAATGTGATCCTAGCTTAAAGGCAGAGAGATGGAATAGAAGAGCTTTCAATGTTGTGTCTATTCTAATGATTCAATGTGTGTCAACCCATTTTAATCTCTGAAAATGGCCTCAAATTATAGGTTTAATAATTAAAATCAGAATAAAGCTGAAGAGTTTCTAACTTTATGTATGCATACAAACAAAAGACCTATTCAGTATCATGGAATGTGAGACTTATTTAAAATAAACAGGAAAAAACAGTGAAATAAATATAGCTAATAATAAGGATTTACATACAATATTTCTAATGTTTTCTCTATCTAAACTACACAAAATTAAATTAATCCAGGTTGTCACTTGATCGAAACGGAACTAAGACTGCAATTATTAAAAAGTAAATAAAAAACAACAGCAAATAAATATATTAAATTTACAAATTAAAGTTCATTCTTTTAATCATACTGAAATCCCTCATTCCTTACTCAAACTTTGTTTATTCTCCACTGTCATCCCAAATGGAAATAGTTTTAGAGTTGGCTCTGATTATAGTTAGCATGCTTATTTAAATACCAAAATATATGCAAAAAATACCCCCAAAACATAAAATAAAATTTAATCCACGACTCCAGATGTAGACTATTAAAATTTCATTGTTTACTTCCAGTCTCTCTCTAAAGCCAAATTTTACAAAAAAGTGAGATATTATTCATATTTTTGGTAATTCATATTTCTCCTAACATAAACAATTCTCATGATATAAGCACAAGTGTACATTGCTTTTTGCTTAAATAATATCCTATTTTATATTAAATATGTTTGAGACCTATCTACCATAGCTTATAAAGGAATTTGCTACAACTATTTTATGCCCTTCCCTCTTTCACTCCCCCGGTATACAGTCCAGAACAATGACTGGGAGGGGGGCAGTGACTGGGTCCTGGATGGGCACTGATATAAGTGAAATCAGAGGCTGCTCAGAAAACTGAACTGTGGCCAGACATAACAAAATGGCCACAGTCGGGGAACTAACAATTGTCTACTTCCCATGCCTTCAGCAACCTAACTCAGTTCTTGTCCTACTATTCATCTCTTAAAAACTCTTGATCAGTACCACTTACCTCACGGAAGCTGGAGCTGCAAACCCTTGGCTCATTTTCTAGCTTTCTAAGGCTGCTGAGAAGGAACACTAAAGAAAGTATTGCTTGACCATGGCCAAGATATAGTTAGTTATAGGTCCTTAAAATAGCCCCTTTCTCCTTTGAAAGAAAAATAAACACAAATTTGAGAAATCTGGGGCAAAAGAAAGTTTACAATTATTTCTATAAAAAGTAATACAATAATTAATAAATAATAATAGAAGAATAAGCTGTGTTTTGCATACTCACAACTGTAAACTTTCTTTTGCCACACCCTGTAGATAAGCTACTAATATAATATCTTGATATATAACTGAGAACCTAGAATTCTCTATAGTGGACTCTCTTTCCTCTCAGTTTGGAGGGTCACCCCAGTAGCACACATCTTCAGCCTCTGAAGATGTCTGATCCAATACTTACAAAAAATGAATAGCTAGAGCATAATAAGGGAGGTGACTGGATACATGGCTGTGATTTTGATCAAACAGAAAACCTTTTGCCACAATAACACAAAGGCACTTTCTACATAGCTCAGAAACAGCCACATAGCATATGTACCTCTCACACATTACAGCACAGGGAACATTTTCTCATCTTTGTTCCCTGCTGCTTTCCATTCTATGGCAGCGGTGTTGAATACTGATGAGATAATGCCTCTTTCAACCTCTGGCAGACATTTTAAAGCAATTTGTTCAAGTACCAAGTACCCAGTCCGCATTTTTTCTGGGCAATTTATGGATCAAATTTCTATCATACTGAGGGAATTTTGAGTTTTAAATATAATGGCTTATCACAAACACAGTACATCTCCTTTAATTTATTTTGTATATAAGTAGGCCCAATAATATGCATTCTAACAGAGTTGTTTGCTATCAATTCAAACATGAATAAAATAGAAGTTAAAGTGAAAAATTAACTTATTTTTTTATATGATGTCCTAGTACTAGTACATATTTGATTGGTTTCATTATTTTTATATGATTGGTCACAAAAATTAATACAGAACTAAGAGAACTACTTTCTTAATATAACTGAGAGCCAAATATAACCAGGTATTAGGAACTTATTTTGTATGTCTTGCATTAATTAATAAATATAATTAAATAAAAAGAAATAATTTCTTTTAGCCAACCTCATTTTTACATACATATGTTAATAATATCCTTCACTTATTCTTCATGTACTCCCCCGTATATACTTACTAAAGTCCATAAAACCAATTTAAATGATTGCCCTAAAAAGACCCTAAATAGAATAACTGTTATGTTTTAGAGCTACTTACTGGATAAAATTTTAAAAATAACTATTGTACACACTAGATGTAACAATAATAGTTATCATTATTATATACATTCCACATAATTCTTTCAGATATTGCAAGATATACATGGACAAACATATGTATATTATACTATATATGTCTCTATAGAGATATAATGTTCACAACATACACTTTATTTTCTTCAAACATCTTTTACGTAATAGAATAACACAGGCTAAATCCTGGGCCAGACTAGATGAGAAAATTCATAATTAAGTAGATAAGTGACTTTCCTCTTTATATTTTTTTTAAAAATAAGAGGTAAAATCTGGAAAATAGAAGGCTTTCAAATGTCTTTTCCAATAGTCACAATTACCTCATTTTTTAAAAATGCTGGTAGTATGAATTTTCAATCAATCAAGAAAAATAAGTCTCTATCAGAAGCCAAAGCACACATCATGTGAAATAGTTGCCATTCATATAAAGATTCCAAATAAGGAATAAGTTGCTCTTTATTTATGTTTCATGTCTCTCTTTATTCACTATTAATCCTGTAATTTGAACTAAAGTAATCCTGATAAGTATCAACTTCCAAAGTTTTGATTAATATTAATCGATTTTGATTCTCATTGCCTAATTACTTCTTATTGTTTATAGTCTGCTGGTGCAACCAAATACTAATGATCTAAAATTGTTAATGTATTACTATAATGAACAATTGTGACCAATAATTTGGTTTAATTATAATAAGTAAAGGTATAATTAATAATAGATTTATTTTAAATATATGCTAGTCTATGTTACAAATTTACAAATCATTAACGCCACAACGATCTAAAAAGAGCTTAGTGTTTTTATAATACACTATGCACACACCGTCCTTGAACATCATTCCAATCTCTCAGAAGCCTTTCATTTTCTTTCCGCAGGTGTTCATTTTTGGCTTGGTTTTCTGCAATGGTGTCCAGGCAGTCACAAACAAGTTCTCTAATGACCTCAGCGGGGCTTGCGACTTGCTCTAAGTTGAAGGAACCAAGTCTGAACTAGGATGAAAGGAAAACATGATTAACTTTGGGAGAAGATCAAATTGAGCAGCCCAGTTTTAAATACACATGATTTCTTCTGAGAGGAAGAAAGTTTGATTCAAGTATAGTAAACTAACAAGATATAGAGTGAACGAGAAAATTGGGCAACTTCTACTTTCTTGCTGAAGTTTATCAAATAAGTCAACATATAACCTGAGCATAATTTATTAAGGCAGTCTCCCACCGCCTACCAGAAAGAAAACAACATAAACCCCATATAAGCATATTATCATGTTTGTTACAACCTTATTTAATTCACTATGCTCAGACTAAAAATATAAATTATACATGAGGATTTTTAATTCTAGTACTGTTACAACTGATGGCAAAAGAGAACAATTGACATAAGCTATTTCTGAAGAAGAGCAAAATTTTGGTAATAGCTAAAAGAAGTGTAGAGTTTTAGGAAACTGATAAACCTGGGAACACCAAACAGTATCAAAACTCAATAATTTATTAGTAGAAATTATAAACAATGTCAATTGTCAAGCTGGAGTACATTTCCATAAAGGTAAGACATAAAAATCCTTAATTCCTCTTCTAGTGGACACTTTAAAAAAAGATAGTATAATATAATTTTAGTTATAGGTATGGAATTCTGAAGAGAACACAGGTTCTCATTTGGTAGATCAAAACACTGAAACAATAATTAATAGTAATTATAATTATTCTTACTATTAAAATTATAATACTCTAAGAACCAGTTAAGATTTTTTAAATAAATAGTTATTATATAGCTGCCATGTCTTGCAGTGGAAGGACAACTCAAGCATAGAATAAATATAAACTCTTCTAATCACCACCAAAATGTAACTAATATACATTTTAATGCTATAAACTGAGGTTCAGAGTAGTTATCTAATAGACTGAAGGAATCAAGTCAAGATCCTACTCTGCTATGCTGTTAGGCTCTTTCCTACATAAGAAGGTATCCTAACTAAACAAGTAGTAAGAGAAAAAGTTAGGTTCAGAACCCACATGTAATTCTGAAGAGAGATTCTGATGGTATTGAGTGCCACAACTGAGAGTAAAACGGGGAGGTTTTTGGCTTTGTTTTGTTTTTAATCTACTAGATCAGTAATTTCTATAGTGGCATTCATCTAACATTTCTCAAGTGTCTTGCTTTTTTTTTAAATATTTTTTTCTTTATTGATTTGAGAGAGAGAAACAGGGATGAGAGGGAACATCGACTGGCTGCCTCCTGCATGCCCCCAACTGAGGATTTGGCCCACAACCTGGGCTTGTGCCCTGACCGGGAATCAAACCAGTGTGACCTCTTGGTGCATGGGTCAACACTCAAACAGTGAGCCACTGCAGGCAAATGTCTTGCTTTATATAGAGTATTTCTATAAATATGTTATATACAGATTGACAAACATTTAACAGTGGTTGAAAATTGAGACAAATCCCTATTAGTCTATTTACAAATAAAACTAAAAGTCACTAAAGTAAAAATCCAATGTTTGCAATATGGAAAACATTTCAGATAATTCCTATAATTTAGAATCATCTGTATATTTAACTCCACGGAATAACTTTTCTGGATGAACTGTGTTTACTAATTTACTTTAAATTTTCAGAAAGAAAACATGTCTTACTTAATATTACAGAAACCATACCAAAAGGCTTAAACACTGATGATTCCTAGGTGTTGAGAAACATTTATTTATACTAACTTAAAATCTAAAGGAAAATACAGGATATTTATATTCATATAGGCACATTTTAGAGAATTAAATATTACTTGTCTAGCCAAAAAAAAAAAAAAAAAGAAGAAGAAGAAGAAATGGTGTGTGTGTGTGTGTGTGTGTTGAAACCTAAGCAGGTCATAATGTATGTTTAATTCTTTAATTTGTTTTATCTTACCTCTTCCTGCTACTTAACAAAAGGGGAATCAGACTAGAAAAAAATGGTACTTTATTTTAATGAGTACACTCAGTTGTATTAGGCTTATATATGTAACTGAAATTAAATAATTTGAACAATGTTTACCAAAAAAAGACTTGGAAAAACTCTACGAATTAATATTTATTTAGTTAAAATTATTTCAGGCAATTTGTCACATCTGATTTATTTATTTATCATAAACTAGGATTAGATGACCAAAATCATTTGCAGTTTTCTCATATAGAGTCCATTTAACAGGCATATAAGTTTAAATAAGAACATTTTCTCTATGTAAGGAATATATAAATTGAAAGTAAATTTGAGCATTTACTTTTTGAAGTTTCTCTTAATGTAAACAAATATACATACACAAAATAAAGATCATCTGTAGAGTATTACTTTTCAAGTCAATACAAACTAGAAGAAAAATTAAGCTTATTTTCTTTTTAGACAACTGATTATATTATCAGTAAAATATAAACCCACAAGGTGATTTTGTATTTTCTCATTATCAAAATCATCAGGCAGCTTTACTAAGATGGACATTTTTTAAAAGGAAAGAATTTTCTTTCATCACTTGAAAGTTTCAACAATGAGAAATGAATAAATGATTTGTGCCACAGTTTAATCCTGAATAACATAATAGATAAAATACAAATATAAGATAAACGCAAGTCTAGCCCCCTTCCTTATATCTTAGATGGCAAAGGAAGAAGGAACCAATTCTAAGTCACTTATAACAATCAACTTCTTTCAAAACACCATTCAAATGTAGATATTCAAAATTCCAAAAGAGGTTCTTACATCTTGTCTTAGCTATTCAGTATAGAATAAACTTAAAATGTCATTTTTCTTTTTTTTTTTTAAATAAATTTTTATTTTTTTTATTTTTTTATCCTCACCCGAGGACATTCCTCAATTTTTTGTTCAGGTAGAGTGGGAGGGAGAGAGAGGAACAGAGAGAGAGAGAGAAACATCGACGTGAAAGGAACACATGGAGTGGCTGCCACCCGCACAACCGACCAGGGCCGGGGACAAACTGCAACCAAGGTACGCGCCCTTAGCGGGAACCGAACCCGGGTCTCTCAGGACCGCAGGCCGACGCTCTAACCGCTGAGCCAAACCGGCCAGGGCAAATGTCATTTTTCTTAACAATAAGCAACTACTTTTTGGTCTCTATTTTCTAATTATATTCCCTGGTTTTTTTCCATTAACAGGTAGGAACACTTATTATTCCAAACAATAAAAATAAACAAGTATATAGAAATTCAATCTAAGACAAGGTTTTTACTAGAAATATTTAGATTACTTTTTAGAAAAAACTCTGATAAGTATGAAAGAGTGACTCTACCGGACCATCTTGCCTGTATATGCCTGATTCAGACCCGAGGCAGGAAGTACCCTTCCACTCCCACCGCTGCTTTTCCAGCCTGTCCACACTGTTACGGATGCAAAAGTCCACATACCCACGTACACTGACTTCAGTGAGGACTTCACATCAGGCTTAATGAATTGAGAGGCAAAAACAGTGCTGTGCTCTAATCCACAGTCAGCCCGTCTTTACACTGCTACTCAAATGAAAACTGGCAACTTAGGAAAGTATTGTTTTCAAAACCAACAAATCCACACAAAAGCTATATTGTATGGTCGTGTCAATTTTAAAACCTTTTACTTTTTTTGTTTGTTTCACATGTAAGGCTATTAGCATGGCTGGTCTTTATTTATTAGTACTATAATTTCAAAATAATCTATAATATAAAATCAGGACTTCAAATGGCACACCAGTCAGAAACCACAAATTAAAGACATTTTGAAAGCTTATTTCTTCTTTAGTAGAATAGTCAAAATACGTTTGTTTTTGTAGTGGGTTCTCAAGATCTTATGAAGAATTCAGTGTACACAGACCTATACTGAGCACCCCCTAACTCATCACTTTAAAGCCCAGATCAAGTTCTCTTTAACTATTTCAGCCTACATTCTTAGTACTTCAGAGTTTGTCTCACACAATTTTGCACTAAGTTACACTCTATATTTTTGTCTGGTTGTCGAAAGAAAGAAAGAAAGAAAGAAAGAAAGAAAGAAAGAAAGAAAGAAAGAAAGAAAGAAAGAAAGAAAGAGAAAGAAAGCAAGCGAGAGGGAAGGAGGGAGGGAGGGAGGGAGGGAGGGAGGGAGGGAGGGAGGGAGGGAGGGAGGGAGGGAGGGAGGAGGGAGGGAGGGAGGGAGGAAGGAAGGAAGGAAGGAAGGAAGGAAGGAAGGAAGGAAATATAGTCTTTTCCTTTAAATTTCTAGCTCTTTGAGATCAGAAGCTATGTCTTATACTTCTTCCACAGTCTCTACAGTACCTTGCATAGCTCTAGACATATATTAAGTGCTCAATAAAAACTGGAATTTTTTATTGGAATGATCATTATTAATAAGGAAATATAATTATAAAAGGAGCGGGTAAAGGAAAGAATTAGGACAATGATGCTCTGAATACAAATCGATACATTTTAAATGGTTTAAAGATATAAGATGGTTTTATTGTATGGAATAGTATAATTTACCAAAAAGGACATGGTTAAAAATTGCATAATAGCATTTGATACTATACTGATACGCAGGTTTAATAGGAGCTAAGCAGATTTGTTTTTGAAGAATGTATAGTTATAAAGTATATATACTGTTTTCAGGTTTGTTGGAGCAGCCAAAGAGATAAAAGAAAATATATAGTATTGGTAATGTATATAAAATAAATATTATGAATAACTATTAACCAATTCCTGGGGAACTGTTTCTGAATGTTTTTAGGGAGAGGGGGGATTACTAAGGTGTGAGTTGCTATTCTCCTTAGTACATATCAACTAAGAGTCTGAGGTTTGATACATTATCAAAGTAGTTTAAATAACTTTGCAGGATTAATCTTTGGTAGTGTCCTGGGAACCAAGATGTAAAGCTAAAGGAAAAAGAGGAATAAAAATATTTTGACGTTATTACTTGACAAATCAGATGCAAACCCATGTTTTAAAATTTATTCATATCTGAGTAAAGTTTAGCTGTATCTATATATGTACACTAAAAAAGTAAAGCCT